TGGCTCCGGTGCCAGGGCAGCCTGGCAGGTCCCTGGCCTGGGCACAGGGAGCTCCTGCCTCGGCTGATGCCAGGGCTTGTCCTTTCCTCTGCCACAGTTTTTGAAGAGCCCGAAGACCCAAGTAACCGGTCATTTTTTTCTGAGATCATCTCCTCCATCTCCGATGTCAAATTCAGCCACAGTGGGAGGTATATCATGACCAGGGACTATCTCACCGTCAAGGTGTGGGACCTGAACATGGAGAACCGGCCCATTGAGACCTACCAGGTGAGTGTGGCACGGCCGGGCACCCACAGTGCTCCTGCCCGAGCCACCCTCCTGGGCCAGCAGTGAGGGGACAGGTCCAAACCCAACAGATGGGAGTGTCGTGCCATTAAATCATTGAAAGCAAATGAAGAATTGGTAAATGTGGGCTTAAGTGGCCTGGCTAATTGCAACCCGTGTCCCCAGGTTGGGTGAGGAGAGAAAGCTTGGGTGCTGGTGGGTGGGAGGGCTGGTGGGAGGGAAGTGTCGGGTCAGAGCAGCAGTCCTTGAGACCCTCTGCCAGGGGATGTGCCCTGGTGCTGCCTGGGCCATATGTGGAGAGGTGCCAGTGCTGCTTCTTGCAGTGGAAAGGTGGCCGTGGTCAAGGGCCCGTGGTAGCGGGCTGTGGCCAGCGCTGCCTGGCTCAGCTGTGGAGAGCAAGGAGCTGGGCTGGGTCCTTCAGGTCCCTTCCTTAGGAGAGACCTTCTCACTCTCTACAACTACCTGACAGGAGGTTGGAGCCGGGTAGTGATTTATCTCATCTCACAAGGAACACGTGATGGGACAAAAGGAAAGAGCCTCAAGTTGCCCCTGGGGAGGTTTAGGTTGGACATGAGGCACAATTTCTTGCCCTTGAGGGTTGCCCAGGGCTGTGCCAGGCTGCCCAGGGCAGTGGTGGAGTCCCCACCCCTGGAGGGGTTTCCAAGCCGTGGAGATGTGGTGTGAGGGACAGGGGGCAGTGGGGACTGCTGGGTGAGTGGCTGGACTCGGTGATCTCAAGGGTCTCTTCCAACCAGAATCATCCACGACTCTGTGTGTCAGCCCCGGTGGGCACCAGGCTGGCGTTTGCCAGCCGCCGGGCTGTGCTGGCTGGCACGGGGCCCTCACGGCCTGTCCCTCCCCGTGCAGGTCCACGACTACCTGCGCAGCAAGCTCTGCTCGCTCTACGAGAACGACTGCATCTTCGACAAGTTCGAGTGCGTCTGGAACGGCGCCGACAGGTCAGCGCTGTGGGGGCACGCCCCGCCTGGCACAGAGGGGGCACGCTCTGGGGGGGCCCCGCGTGGTCCTTCCCCGGGGTTTTGGCCGGGTGTGGGATCTGGAGAGGTTTCCTGTGGGCACTAAGGGATCACCCGAGCCCACAGCCCCATCCCCGCGCGCTGCCGGGGGGCCCGGTGGGGTCCCGGCTCTCTCCTGGGTGGGTTCAGTGCCCGTCTCCGTGGCACCCACACCCGGAGGAGGGTGGTGATGTGTTTGGCTCCAGACTGGCAGATCTGGCGATGACAACTGTCTTTGCCTAAATCACATGGAACCAGGTG